TCTCTCATGCTTCCATATCTTTGCATCAGCTCTTCCAAACTTCCTTATAGAATAACTCTATCCATATATGCCAGAAAATGCTCTAAAATTTTGTTGTCATACTTTCAAAGCCAACAATGTTTTGGATTTTTTCCATATCTTCTTCACTAAGGATACCTCTTATCCATTGTTTTTTTTTTGTTATTTTTTTTCCTGTTTATATTGGATAGCTTGTTGTATGTTTAATAAGTTCCAATTTTCCTCTCTTCTTTTATCTTCGTAGAGCTATTTTTATATTACTTCTTCAATTTTTTCTAATACTTGATTTGATTTCTCATATATAATCAAATGTCTAATTGTTTCTTTTTTCTTAAAGCATCTTTTACATAAGCTGTTTTTGTATAAATGAGGTCTTCTATAGTTTAAGATTTCAACAGTTGGGAAAAGGTTTTCAATGCATTTGGTTTTGAACAATTACAAGTAGTTTACTTCAGAATTCTGGTATTACTTGCTGCAGCTTCTAAGTATACTCTTAAATAGTGTTGTCATGAGACATGGGACATAGACAGCAGACAGTCCAGGATAGGACGTCCATGGACATGTCTGCTAAAATATTGTGTCTCAGACAAATATATACAAATATATTAATATCTAATTATAATTCTGATTGATCAGGCTCTATCGCTATACAAATTTTTTTAGATTCATTATTATAATAACTTGGGTTATCAGTTTATAATTCAGATTAAACCAAGCTATTTTAACTTCAAAGATTTCTTTAATCATAACAAGATATTTGAGAAACTTATGTATATATAATCTTGCAAACTTATATTTAGTATAGAATAGTAAAATAAATCAAAAGAATTAACTTTGAATATAATTCTGGGATGCAGTATACATGTGTGCCTAAATTGCGTATCTTAATAAAAAAGTAATTACAGCATTTAGATAGCTGAAGTTAGTCTTATATAGTGCTGAAATTAATTTTTATATATGCCAAAATTATTGCTGAATTTTTTTGAACTCTTTTTATCAAAATATATCATATATTATAGTTATTTCAGAGGGTTTTATATAAAAAGTTTAGCAATACTGAACTGTTTGCCGAAAATACTTTTTTTCAAAAATAATTTAGGCACATATGTATAGGATGCAGTAGGATAAATTAATTTAATTTATTGTATAATTATACAGAGTTTCCTTTATTCTTAAATTACTTACTAACTTTGCATTTATTTTGAATAATTTATCTATCCTTTGGCCAAACATTAATTGATTAAATTATTAACATTATCTCTTTAGATTGCGATACTACATTTTATTTAAGCAAATTATAGTTCCTATTTAAGTAAAGATTTCTTGGTCCTACTATATGATTCTATGTAACAAAAAATAAATATGACAAATAAGAATAATAATAATGTCTATAGATAAATGCTAAGATAAATAGTATCACCATATGAAAGATAATTAAATATATTTAAAGAATTAAAGTGTATTAGTTTTAATACCGTTATTAAATTTGAATTCAAGTCTAAGCCTGATACTAACTTAGCTTATGAAGTTGAACATTTAATATCTTAAGAACTAGATTCAGTTCAGTATTAAATTACATAATAAAAAAGTTTATTATTAACTTTATATGAGCATAAACTATGAAATACATTATAAATTTAAGTTTATTAGTATTATTCTTTGAAGAGATATATTTTAGATCAAATAAAGAATATTAATATGTTACCCAATAATATATTTTTTAATTTATTATCGTATAATTGTAATAATATTCAACTCTGATTATTTGCTTTTTAAAATATAATGATGTTCTAATATTATTAATAATAATAGTTAAATTAAAATTTGTATGTAATCAATTTTTATATTCATATAAAATAACAATTACTAACTTGAGATTTTTATGTCAACATCCTATCTTAGCGGCTTATACTTAATTTAAACAAATTAATAAAATGGTAAATCTAATTTATAGAATAAACTAGCTAATTTCCACTTAGCATTTTTATCTATAGCTAGATAAATATTATCATCTGATTTTAAAATATTGTCTTGATCTCCTATTATATCTGCTTCTTTTTCCTCTTCTAATATTTCTACTCATCCTTGAAGATACTCACCAAATTCTATTTCTGAAATATAAGGCAAGTTATATTCTTCATTATCATTTGTTTCTTCATTATTATTGTTCTCATTTAAAAACTCATCTAATTGATCAATATCATTATCTTCATCTACATTATCTTCATCCACTATTTCAGTATCAAATAACTCAACATTACTATTATTTGTTATTTGAGTCGAGGTAATATGTAAAAAGGCAGAAAAAGGAATATCTAGTTCATGACAATGTTGATAAGTTATATTAGCTCGTAATTTGCTCATATTAAGTGCTTTTGCTATCTAAAATATAAAAAAACTATTAAAATTTTATATATAGAGTATATATCTTGTAAATGCCTTATGAAATATAGTAATTACTATATTTCATAAGGTATTTACAAGATACAGACTCTATATATATATTTTTTTGAATAAAATTAGATTAATTACTCTTTATTCAAATTGCTTACTGATAACTGATTTCGTTGATTTGTTTGAATAAAACCTATACAACTCCACAATCATTCTACTGAAGCAGCATTAATACAGATACTAAAAATTCTACAAGCTACAAGCCCTAACTCACTAGTTGAATTTCCTGCGAAGCATCAATATGACAAAATATTTTCTTCAAACTGTTGATAAGTTTTATAATCAAAAGGATATTTTTTTAAATGAAAATTATTGAATTCATGAAGAATACATTTTGGTTCTTAGCCTGTTCACATATGATAATAATAACTTAACCACTTTCCAAAAGTAGAGTAATTAATATTAGTAACATTAGTTTGAAAATAACTCATTCTATATTTAGGATATAAAACTACTGATAACAACAGGATTGGCTGCTCTCATTCATTCTAATATCATTCAAGTCTTTTAATTAATTATGTTGCTAAAAAACTATTCGAATTTGACTCATAAAATTGTATAAAATAGGCTATACTTAAAATGATTTCAAACAAACGAGCTTTATCTCGTTAAAGTATATTAAGCAGCTTACAATATAGTACAAGAAGTTCAATTAAATTTTTAATATGATCCCAAAAGATATTAGATTCAATAATTTCATATATAGCACAATGAATATAATTGTCTCCTAGATAGCAGTGAGTTTCAGAAAAAGGTAGTTTAAATTTTATAGCCAAGATCTAAAAATATAAATAAAATAAATAAGATATTTGAACTTTAATTAGCTAAATTTAAGAAACTTAAAGTTATATTTTTTTTGATTTGAATACTGCTAAAAGAAAATATAACTCTCGTTTTTTTCTAATTCAGCCTTTCTGATCAATGATATATCAGACTTTAAATTATATGACATTCTAAACAAAGCTTTTGAAAAATTAGATCAGCGATATATTATTAATGTATTACTGATTTAATTTTTTAAAGGCTTTGTTCAAAATGTTATATAATTTAAAGCCTAATATATCATTGATCAGAAAGGCTGAATTAGAAAAAAACGATAGTTATATTTTCTTTTAGTAGTACTTATTTAGCAAAAAACGATTTCATTTTTTGCTAAATCTAATTATATAATTTACATAATATATGATAATTAGTATTTAATATAAAAATAATAATAATTACCTCTAATACTTTTTGTATACGTAAAATAGTTGTATATATATAAAATAAACTATTCTATCTAGTTTTGTAAGGTACTAAAATTGTATAAATTTTGCTATATATTTTATATTGTTGATTTCGCAATTAGCCAATAAAAAATTAATTATTAGCATTTCAAAAATAATTAGCGAGCTTAATTCCTTGATCGATAATTTTTTTAATGGTAGTGACTCTTTAAAAATTTCGCCCACATATAAATTTATTTGATAAGTAAAACAAGGAAAAAAAACTATTGATTTTTTAGAAATTCTTAATCAGCGTCTATGTTAGAATAAAGTTTAAAGGTATTATCGATTTAAATTTATATAAAAAACTAGTTTAGACTAGCATTTATTACAAATTTAAGTTGAAAAACTAGGCAATTATTTTTAATTAATACCTATATAAATATTTAATAAATACCTTGCAGCTATATAAGCACTTGCACTATTCATAACAATAGCACAAACTTTAATACCTAATGATTCTAATTCTACAATCATTAGTTTAGTTTTATTTATAACATCTTGATGCTTTTTGCGTTCAGAACTAATATCAATAGCCTTCCAAACATAAGGTCTCCCCTCAGATAACAAAATTACAGTTCCTAAAAGATGCCTATTTTTCACATTAGTCCACTCATCATATGTTAAAGTTATACCTACTAGATTTTTCTTCAGTACAGTTTCTATTTCTTTATTAGCATCATTAACAATCTCATTTAATATTTGATCACCTAAGGTTCTGCAGTCTGGAAGTACAAGAAGCAGATTTAAAAACTTAAAACATTCTCTTGCTTCAGGATTATTAATCCAAGATAGAGACCACTCACAAGAAACTGTCATTTTAAGTAAAAGTTTATTAAATTGTTTGCAATCTTCTTTTGATAAAGCCCAAACAATATAATTATCTATTGGGCTATAAGATTCTGAATGAACAATTGTTTTTCGAGATGAATTTAAAGATTATTCATTATCTACTAAAAATAATTAATTTTATACTTATAAAAAATTATATTAAATTTAATAAAAAATTAATTACATAATCTTTTTTTTGTAGATAAATTATTAGCAGATGCGAATATTTCTACTTGCTTTTCAGGTGTAGTTGCACTAAGGAAATTTTTACATTTTTTTAAATGTAATATTATCCTATCTTTCTTATTTGAAAAATAGGTTTTTTTCCCTTCTTCTTCTCCCAAAACATCAATACAGTATTTGCAGAAAGTTTGTACATTACTTTGAT